AACGACTTTTTAGATATAAAGATGTTTCAAAATGCTCATATTTTAAAAGAAAAGCTCATAATACGAACTAATAAAAATAAATCTCTTAATATTACTTTGCAATTCAAAATATTGAACCCCTTTTAAACATAATTGCTAATGGACCAATATGAAACTTAGTGTTTGTTAAAGTTACAGTCAAAGAAAGAGATGCTGAACTTTGGGGCTCTTTTGTTCGATGCGCATAATTTCATTTCCACATATATTGCACCCTCGGGAATTTGTCTTAAGAGAATAAAATTACATTTGCTCTCGTATTTAAACGATTATTGCAGCACAAGGAGTTGTTGCGTAGGATATATTTTAAAACGGGTCTTCTTCTTCAGGGACATTTTTCAATCAATAAAAATGTTTTTATGTTGATTCAAAATGTCTTATCCTTCCCAAATTTAATAATAATACAGGATGATTCCAAAGTTGTATTTATTTTTTAGTATTTTATTGTAATGTGTTTCAATTCTTAATGATGTTTCTTTTCATTTTTATAAAGAAAATTTTCATTTTTAAAATGATATAGTTTTTCATCTTGAGTCATTCGCATATGTGAGAGTTCATCGTGGATGTTTGCAATAAAAATTTATCTATATTGCAGGGTATGCGTTTTTGTAATTACCTATTTAAACATTTCACTGTATTTTAAAAATAATGATTAAAAAAAGTAAATTTAACAAAGTTAAATTTAAATTTTTTCTTGAATTCGTTATTTAGTTTCTTCCTTTTTGTGTCAAGCATAATAATAGCAATATAAACTTAAGATTAAAATAATTCTCAAACAATTCAACAGATTTCTATATAAACCAATTGATCATATACTGGTATTAATTGTATACTGGTATTAATTGTTCTAAGATGATCTTCATTACTAAATTGTTCGTACATTTACGGTAGAGAATTCAGAAAGCCTGAAATGATAATTATTTCGTATGACGCTGAACATCAATGTACATATTTGCAAACTCCAATTGTATATAATTTAGTCTATAGCTAAATCCCATAACAGCTACTGCAAGTTTACCAGTAATACGTAAAATACTCTAAGCCATTGCTTTGAACGAAAAATTAAAATATTTAACTGCATGTATTTCCTGCAGCTCATAAACATTATAAATTATCCAGCATTTTAATATAAATGAAATTTATATTTAATCCTTTAATCCTTTGTCCGATAAATGCATACTTTAATTATTTTTTTCTAAGAAAACAATTTTTACTGTAATACTTACTATTAAAATAGATTCCAACCCCATAATTAAAATCAATTATTGAGATATAAATATTTACTATCACCATTGCAGGCAAAGTTTGCCATACTATGCTGGCGTTAAAAATATACCGATACAATATAAATATACTGAACTATTAGTTCCCTTTAAATTTTTGTTAATTCATTCGAATTTAAACATCCTTTTCCATAACATCTTGACTAATTAAAAACTATTTAATGAAATGTCGATTATTTCACACGCTCATTTTTATTTGAAAAAAGCCTTGTGGTCAATTTCTTTTGTTGCCGGTAATAAAAATATTTTGCCGGTAATATCCTGTAATAAAAAGTATTGAATTTAAATACCTTTATTTCTACTATTCATGCTTTAAGAAGCATAAATCTGTTGAGCAATATAAATACTCTTTTGTAATATCCCTCCGAATTTGGAGTTAAGGGAAAAAAACATTCAGTGGAGATAGATTTTATTTCAATTTAACAACAAGACCAGCGTACATATAAACGATACATAGTGTAGTTAAATTTAACATTTGAGGGAGACCTCATACACTAATCTTATGTGCATTCACACTGTTCATAAGTTATTTTCATCCGAAAACATAAATTTTATCAATCTGGGTAAGTAGGTTGTAAGTAGGTTGGGCTCAGTAGGTTGTTTATTATCGATTATGAGAAGGTGTAGGTTTGTTATTTTTCTGTACATTGTTACACAACTGCAGAGAAAAAAGTTAGCTTTGGCTAAATGCATGCTTTTAATCGACTAATAAGGATGATAATATTTCAATTTTTAAATATCTGTTAATTATTTGAAATATTTTTATAATATTTATTTTCTGTTTGCATCTGTCCTGCTAAGTAAAACTTCTTATATATTCTCTCTTCGACATACGTTTGATTGATTTACAGACTAATTTCACTTTAAAAAATAGTGTATAGATGCACCCTAAGCTAACTGTTTTTATTTAAAATTCTACAGTAAAAATAAGACCGTTGACTCGTATGTTCATCGTAACTAATTTTCATAAATTTTAGCGTGACCTTGAACACCAAAAACTGTCGCGATTATTTACACAAAAGGTAGCCGTCTCTATAGATTTTTGAAGTAAAGTAGTTGACACTGTTTTTGGTGTTATACAAAACCTTTCCACGGAGGGTCTTCGGAAAGGTCTGCCTTGAATTATGTTGTTTATTTCAACAAAAAAACTTTTTGAAGTATGTTAACAAATATAAATGTATCAATTATGCGTCCGCTATAAAATTTCCTTTGTGCGTGAAAAACTCCAAATCCTGAAACCTATTAATTAAATTTTAAAAAACACTAATATATTTTCTATAATTTATTACACAAGAATACTTCTCAGAGTTTATTAGAAAAGAATACTCCTTAACAATCTTCCTTGGTAATATAAAAATTTTATAATTTCCCTTCATAATCGGAATTTCTTTTACATGTAATTGTGTTTTACTACACAAGTAATAAATAAACGTTAACAAAAGGAAAGAAGACTTTACTTTTAGCTTGACTGTTAAATATTTTCTAGTTTGATTATTTCAGTAATTCATCTCAAAGGGATTGAATATCTTGCATCCTGATCTCAACCGAAGACGAAATTTTAATCATAAACATGATTAACTATTATATGATAGCGATTATACATGCAAAAATTATATTTTCCATAATTTATTTCAAAATTATTCTTCACAGAGTTTATTAGAATTTACGAGAATTCATTAGAAAAGAATACTTCTCAACAATCTCTCATGGTATTATAAAAATTATATAATTTTCTTTCGCAATCAAAATTTCTTTTACAAGTAAGCGTGTTTTAAAACGAAAATAATAAATAAGTGTTTCATAAAAAATGAAAACAAACTTTACTTATGGATTAACTCTTGAATATTTTCTAGTTTGATTACTTCAGTAATTAACACAAAGGGATTGAGTATCTTGCTTCCTGATCTCAACCGAAGACAAAATTTTAATCAGATACATGATTAGCTATTATATGATAACGAGTATACAGGCAAACAATTATTGCAAAGTAATACTTCACAAATTTTATTGAAATTTACGAGAATTTATTAGAAAAGAATGCTTCGCGACAATCTCTCATGGGAATATTATAGACTTTTCCTTCATAAAAATTATAGACTTTTCCTTCATAATCGGAATTTCTTTTACAAGTAAGCGTGTTTTACCACAAAAATAATAAATAAAGGTTTCACAAAAAATGAAAGCAAACTTTACTTGCAGCTCAACTGTTGAGTATTTTCTAGTTTGATTATTTAAGTAATTAAACTCAAAGGGATTGAGTATCTTGCATCATGATCTCAGACAAAGACGAAGTTTTAATCAAATACATGATTAAAATATACGCCTAAGTTAGCCACAAAGAGAGTTTTCGCTGATTCAGTTACAGCATACTCTAACTTTGTATTAAATTAATGAAATGAGTTGTTTTCACAGATGCATAGCTCTTAAATGAGATAATTCAATGTTAGTTATTTCCTTAATACATCGGTAAGCATTCATGAATTTTCTGCATATTTATTATTCCGTTGTATTAATTTACACATTTATTACTTCGCTACAAGAATGTGTGCTGTTAGAAAACAGATTTATAAAACAATATGGAATTTCAATAATAATTTCCCCTTGAAATCATATAAATGGCAAATTTGGTATTGGTTGACGTAATAATAAAACGATCCTTCTTCATAAATTCTTATATCGTTTTTCTAAATGGTATTTTTTATCGTTGGAACAGTATACGTTGCAGCTTTTATCTAAATGGTATTTATTGGTAATGGTATTAAATGGTATTTATTACATTTTTATTGTTGTTTTCTTACTTAATAGAACTCCTACAAGTTACGTAGCGTGGCTATATCGATCCTGATTGTTTGTTGAAACGAGGCATTTGTTTATGTTAGCAACTGTTCCTTCCATTCTATTTTTAGTAAGATAACCCCGTGAAGCATCAGTTATCTTAAGTGACACATTCCATATTCTTTCACAAAAATTTCCTTTTTTCACTATGTATTTCTCACTCAACACAAAAACAGACACGAAGGCAAGCAGAACATAAACAAACTAATTATCCATAGAATTTGCCAGGTACTCAAATCGAAATTACGTCATGGTTACAGTAAAATTCATAAACAAATAATAAATCTAAGTTAAGTAAAATGCGTAGAAGAAGAAGAATTATCTTTCAACAAATTCGATATGCGATACGGTGTTGCAATTAATTAACTTCACGTTAATTAATATTCTAACTCATGCGGTAGATACTTAGTTTCACTTTAACATAGCATTTTACTTTTAAACTATCATCTAGCTCTGGCACATGTGTGGGGATCCGTGATCTTCTTCTACTTGAAGTAAAAGAACCCAATTTGAAATTTATTAAATTTAATTAAAATTTTATTAAGTTAAAAACGTTTCTAAAAAAACTTTCCAATCTTATGTTTTATTGCTACTTTTATTTCCACGTCTATATTCTCTTTAAAAATAACTAAAAAATAAGTTTAAAGCTTAATGAAAATGTAGAGAAATATTTCTGCTTGCTTTCTTTATTTGAAAACTAAATAAAATTCTAACTGAAAAACTAAACTCTCAGCCTTAACAAATATTTTATAAAAAAAAAAAAATTAAGTTTTTGTACTACTTAATTAAAGAGTCCAGTAAATAAAATTTTTAATGTTCATAAAAATATTTTTTTAACTCTTTCAGATGAATTTCTTCATTTCCCACAGACGTTTAAAACAGATAGTGGATTCGAAAAAGGCAATTAGTTTCTGTGCATATCTCTTGAAGTCAAAATCTACTAATTATTTACACTTAACCTACTGAGATTAAATGTCAATCAATCAAATAAACAACTGAAATTTATAATAACGATGTTTACTTGCTGAACGATAAAAATGGAAGTTTTGGCGGAGTATAATATGACCAATGAAACAGACGAAGATGGTGGTAATATATTTATACTTCCATGGTGGCAACAGTTAGTTTGGAGCATAGTTTTTGGAGTCATGATTTTTGTGGCAACAGGTGGAAATGCGATTGTGATGTGGATTGTGCTCGCACATAAGCGAATGCGAAGTGTGACAAACTATTTCCTCGTGAACTTAAGCTTAGCTGATATGATGGTTTCAACATTGAATGTTATATTTAACTTCGTTTACATGCTGGATGGTGACTGGCCATTTGGCGAAGCTTACTGTAAGATATCTAACTTCATAGCAATCGTGTCAGTTGCTGCTTCAGTATTTACACTAATGGCGATATCTTTTGACAGGTAAGAATCTAAATTATCTTAATAAATGTGTTTAATTTATTTTTATGTAACGTTTTATCGCATGCATGCTATAGCTGAAAATATGTGACAGCTATTATAAAGCTTATTTTCAATGGAATTTTTATTTCCAATGATAAGAAAAATGATATTCCGGATCAAATTACGGTAAAAAGTATCTGCACTAAAGGTGCCGGAACTTTTAACAGTAAAATCCATTTTTACCGGAACATGTTATGAAACAGAAAATATGATATATTTTATGGTTAAAATGGATTTTACGATGCACCTAAAATTTCCTTACTTCATACCAAAATTTAATTTGAAATCTATTACAGTGCAGTGTAGTGAATATTTTGTGAGATATTTCTGTATCCTCAATTATTTACCATGAAGCTTTCTTTGTTTAAAACAGAGTATTTCGTAAAAGGGAATTTTTGTTTTAGGGATTTGAACAAAATGTGTGAGCAAGCTTGGAGAATGTGATTTATGTAATTGCGCGTAAATAAAATTTTTTGACTTACTCTGCGTTTTTTTTTTTTTTCATAACGTCTTATATTAGGTGTTAATTCTATCTTCGTATTTTTAAGATTTTTTTTAAAACCATCATACTTAGTTTAGTTTTTTCGAGTTTAAAATAGAATCATGACTTTTTAATATTACGAAAGTAACATCTGATATAAATTTTGATCTATACATTCCCTACGTCTTTAAATCTGTAAAAAAATAGATACAAGGAATAAATAAATAATTTTAGATAATAATATGTTATGTTATTTTATTGGGGTAAGCTTTTTTTATTTTTGAAAAAATTATTTTTATCTTAGACAATGAACTAAATGTAGCATAAAATATTATTGAAGTAGACTTTTCATCCTTTAGGCCATTGTTTCTCAACGGGGGCGATACCGCCCCCCTGGGGACGTTTGGAGTATGCTGAGGGGTGGTGAACTTGCTTCGGGCGTAGGGGAGACGTTGGATATGTTTTGGGCTGTAGGGGGCGATGAGCATGTTTTGCCAATCAAATTTAATTAACTTACAAAAAAAATATTAAATTAAATTTATTTAATAAATAAAATTAATCTAAAGTTAATAATTTAAAAAAAAGATTAAGTTAATAAAATAATTTAAGATTATCTGATACACCTTTTGTACCACCAATAAAACGAGCTTATACGACACCTATTCTCCGAATCAACACAGCGCATCGCATTAGTCAGTAGTTTTTGCCTCTGATTTATTCAAGCTATTTCGCGAATGGCGGAAATCGAAGTGCATGAGATTTCGGTATGAATGTTTGATTTGACCCGTGTTTCTTATGATGATTTTCGTTGTCTTCTTTACAGTTTTTTTCCCAGTTTCGATCCGATCTCATTATTTATTTGGTCAAGTATGTATTCGCATTAGTACTTTACTATAAATTTTTTTTTAATTTGGAGAAATAGTTGATTTTCTTTCATCGTTTGTATTTTGCTGCCACCAACAATGTCAGTAAACAAAAAGAAGTGTCATCAATACCGTGCCACGTACTTGAAGTCTGTATTTGTTCAATCGTTGTTGAACTCTCAACTTCCCATGTGCTTACTTTGTAATAAAGTTTTATCTAATGATACAATGAAAACTTTCCGCTAACAGGAGCATTTGCAAAAAACTCATTCTCACAAACAAAATAAGGATATTTAATTTTTTGCGAACATCAAAGACACGTTTCTGAAGGCACCTTCGGTCTCAGAGTTACTAGCATCATCATCACAAAAATGCGACGATTGTTTGATAGCTTCTTATAATATATCACCACTTATTGCTAATTCTGAGAAAGCTCATACCATCGTCGCAGAGTTGATACTGACGGTTATCAAGGAAGTTTTAGAAACAGTTGTACACCATCCAGCCACATCCAATGTAATCAAAACTATCCCATTGAGCAACGATACAGTGCTGGGACGAAATGGTGAGATGGCTGAAGACGTTGAAGTTTCTTTATGCAAACTTTCGATATTCAACGAATTTTCCCTTCAAGTTGATGAATCAACCTTGCCATGCAATGTAGGCTTTACTGTAGGCGTTGGTCCGGTTTGTAAAGGTAGGAAAAAGTAATACAAGAGATGCTTTTTGCAAGAAGCTTGATTGTAGATACCAAAGGTAAATCTATTTTTAATTCGGTCCCAGATTATTTTACAGAGAAAAACATTCCTATTGCGAATATTATATCGATTGCCACTGATGGATCTCCTGCAATGGTGGGTCGAATCGTGGGTTTATCACCCTTTTGAAAAGGGAAATACAAATATTTTAGCTGTTCACTGCGTGAATCACAGGCAGCATTTAGTAGAAAAATTTCAGCGACCGTTTGCATCACTTATTGCAGTATGTCATATTTGCTGTGTACAAAATTCTCAGTAATGCTCTCAACGATTGAAGAATTCAATCACTTGCTACTACACTCCGAGATTCTCTGACTATCCAAAGGAGCCTGTCTCAATAGGTTTTGTTACCTTTTCGATTCTGTGCTTGAGTTCCTCTAAAAAATAGATGTAGCTCTGAGAGATAGATTGCTAGAATTCAAGAAAAACTTTGGCGGATTTATTTGTAAAATTTATTGGGTTTAATTTGCAACTTCCAGCAACGAGCTCAATTTGATCCCTTCATAATCAGTCATTTCTGCTTTCTAAAAAAACTCATTTTGTGGAAGCAGAATTTTGGTTGGAATGAGTACAGCCAAGCAGATTTAACTCGCTCTGATGATGCACAAGAATATTGTCAACACATTGACTCTTTGCACGAAGATTTTTCTGACCGTTTTAAAGATGTTTTGTTCCCTGGAAGTCCTTTAACGGGTTATGAACCCTTTTGTGAATATTAAAACAGCAGAGGTTCAGATTTATGAGGAATCAGTCGAACTTTCAGCTAATGAAACTTTGAAGTGGTGATCGTCTCAGAGAATTTTGGCTTCAAAGAAACATCAGTCGCCTCTACCCTGGACTGCGGACTATCATTAAAATTTTTTTAAATGCCTTCCCTTCCTCCTACCTTGTCGAACGTGGATTCAGTCTTGTTACGGAAAAAAGAGAAATCAACTCGAAATTGTGCAACAAGGGAACTTGCGTCTTCACCTTACTAAAAAAATTTAACCGAACGTTAAAAGACTAATGTTTCGTTGATACTACTTTTTAGTGTAAAAAAATATTTTGAGTGGTTTTTTAATTATCTAATTAAGAATAAGTTATTCTTTTTAGGCATAGGTTTCTTTGTTGTATTTTTTTCATTACTGTATTTATTTTAATTATAACAAATAGACTGCGAATACCTGCCGTGAGAAAAGCATCGATAAATGTACTCATTATTTTTTTAAAAAACCAAAAAATTTAACTCTTAAAAAATTGCTTAATGTTGTCTCTTATAATTTAGCACACCTCGCTCCATCACCATGCTCTATCTAACTAGATTTTTACAAAGGGGTGCGTTGAAGTGTTTTTTTACTCCTTAAGGGAGCGGCAACATTAAAAAGGTTGAGAATCTATGCTTTAAGCACTAGTTTAGGAATTGAGACTAAAAAATTAACTTTCAAGAGCTTAAAAAATAGTAAAAGATAATTTTGAATATGACCTTCTAGCAATATGTGTTTAACTTATAATATAATAATTACATCATTCATTGCACTATATATCATAAAAATTTCATGCATATTTCATATTTGAAGAGCTTAGTGGAAGAAGCAGCTAAGTGAAAAATTTTTTAAAAAAGATTTCTTGAGGGAACTTCTTATTTAAATTACATTTAAATACATAACATTCATTTATGTTGCTAAATCCATTCATTCCGAAGAGACTTGGTGGAAGAACGGCAAAGTGACTAAGCGACAAATAGTCTATAAACAATCCTAGAAAATCTCTTGCTTGGCAACGAACGCTAAGGTATGGGGGAAAAGTTGGCGAAAATGAAAAATTTGCAGCAGCAACTTCCATACATTAAGGAGAAATTGAGGTATTTTTACGAATCAATAATTAAAAAAGACAAGAAAAATAACCCTTAAACAGCTTCACCATGCAATTTCTTTGTTTCGGGTTCGCTTTAGCTTGTGATTCAGACACATTACCCTGGTAAAAAATTTAATTTTTTTTCAAAGCTGAAAATAAATGCTATTTTGTGCTTAGGCAACATTTTCAGTTTATTATTATTGTTACTTGCTGTATCTTTGTTTTTCCTTTTGAAATAAAATTAAATAATCAACAAATCGGTAATGATCAACATTGTAAAATCATGCACAAAATTAAAAAGAGCTATATGCAGACACAATCATTCGGTACAATTCGACTGCTTGAGATCAAATCCTGATAGTCAAAAATTACCACAATTACATATTTATCCCATTCGGTAACCTGTAAATACCTATTTCCACAGTACTCATAGTAGGTATCTGGATACGTATATAAGTATATATAGTACATATTAAAACAACATTAATTAACTACTATCAGTAATACCGATTACCATCGGATACCGATTATATCGGATTATTTTATTTAAATTGTAAATAGGAAAAATGTCATCAACAATTTTTAAGATGTGCGCGCTCGTTTAAAATATTAAGTGTTAAATCCGGAATGATAAGCGTACTTATAAGTTTTGCAAAATAAAATAGTAACTTTTTCATGAAAATTAAGGTGACACATGAATGAAGCACAGATATAGATAATAAAGCTTGTTTTTGCTCCCTGTTAGGAGACATTCTTGAAATGGTAACCTAAATTATGAAAAATAAGAATCGAGTAACTAATCATGACCTCGTAGCTTACCACTATAAAAAAACTAAAAACTGTTTCATAAACATTTTTTTTAAAATTGAAATGTATCTTTTTTGCATGAAACGGCATTATTTTTAATAAAATTGAAAATAATTTTTATTTTAGAAACTGTACCTAGATATTTTTTGTATTAATATGAAGAAAAATACTTGTATTTAATTCAGAAATATCTTTCGATGCAAAGAAATGATATAACAT